TGCGCACGGCCCAGGAGCCTTTGCGCTGCAGCGATCATGTCCCCCGGCCGCTGCAGCGATCATGTCCCCCGGCCGCTGCAGCGATCATGGCCCCCGGTCGCTGCGCGGCCCGGTGCCAGGTACTCCACGGCCCGGCACCGGTCCGCGGACCGGGGGTTGGGGACCACTGGACTAGATGACCTACAAGGTCCCTTCCAACTCTGCTAATCTGTCATTTTTGAGGTTCTGCAAGTCACTTCTTTTCCAGTTTGCGGTCTCCAGCTGAGGGGGCTTGGTTAAATTTTTTTTAAAATCCCCTCCCACATAATACAAGGTTGAGTTTTTGAAGACAAAGGATTGAAACTGGGGGGGCTAAGAGGTTTATCCACCGCGGAGTTATATTATCATGAGTAAGAAAAGACCTGTGACTTTGCCCAGTTGGGAAGGAAGGATCCTTTTTTCCACGGGAGATCTCCTGGAGAGAAGAGGCAGATTTCTGCTTATCAAATCCAGTTCAGCAAAAAATGGATCGGCGCAGCTGAGTCGTACACACACACACACACACACACACACACACACAAACTAACTTTCATCAAAGCTACTCCAAATACAGCTTCTTGTATTCGGGTCTTTTCCCGTGTAAAATACAATAAGACCAGCATACTTACACCTGTGAAAATCTACGAAATATATATTTATCAGCTGGGCTCCTGCCAAATCTGGCTCTTTCTTTTTCTTTTTCTTTTTTTTTGGCAGCTTTCTCCCAATGGAATTATGTAGCACTTATTTTTGTAGCCTGTTTAAAATTCCTTAATTATGCCAATGACAACTTTAAACCGGGTTTTATTTCTGAATAATTTAATTAGCCTTTTGAGAGGCTAAGTACCTTTTCTGGAGGGCCTGGGAAAGCCATTGTTTTTATTTGGGCTTTTGTTTTGTTTTCGCGGGGCGTATGGGGAGCGTGCGATTTAGCAGGTCCTCCATCGTATGTAGATACCCACATGGGCACACTTACTCTCTCTCCAAAGCATCTGCCTTTTTTTCCAGAGACGGCTGGATGCAAATTCTAGGTAAGTTGGAAGCTTGTTCCCTAGCAATCAACAGCCATCCGTTGTTCAGACCTCGGTTTCCCCAAAAAGCAGGAGGCAGATTCCTGGTCCCGACAAAATCCCTTTCATTAAACGAATGTGAATTCCTCTCCTTCACATTCAGCCAAGGCCTGGCAAACAGTTCTTTCAAAGGAGTATTTATGACCACAGACCTTATCTAGCTTGGAAAGCTGCCATGTCAATGTTTCCCAAATGAGGTGCTGTGCAAGAAAAGGCTGGGGCTAAAACTCAACACCTGTATTCCTTAAAAAGCAAGAAGCAGAGTCTTGGTCCCTGCAAAACTTCTTTTATTTACACAACTGTGAATTCCTTTCATTCACAGTCAGCCAGGCTTGGCAAAACAGTCTTTCAGAGGAATATTTATCAACACGCACCTTATCTCGCTTGGAGAGCTGCCAGATAACCCGTTTCCAAACGCAGGCAAGGCAACAGAGTCTCTTATAGTCACAAACAGAACTTTTCACTCTTGAAACGACTGAAGGAACAAATTGTTTCCTGCAAAAGCCCCCTCCCCATTCGCTCCTCTTTTGTTTCCCATGGGAAGTGCCAATCACCTCCAAGGTGTGGCTTTACTCCCACTGCGCCGAGGTGGCGCAGTGGTTAAATGCAGCACTGCAGGCTACTTCAGCTGACTGCTAGTTCAGCAGTTCAGTGGTTCTAATCTCACCGGCTCAAGGTTGACTCAGCCTTCCACCCTTCTGAGGTGGGGGAAAGGGGGA